GTGGCGACTGCTCCAGGGGCGGCTGCTGGAGTGGTGGCTGCTCCAGGGGCGGCCCGGCTGCTCGACTACCCGCTAGGGGCGGCGACGGGGCCGGGTAGGGGCGGCGACGGGGCCGCTAGGGGCGGCGACGGGGCCGCTTAGGGAGGGGAGCGGCGACGGGGCCGTTAGGGGCGGCGACGAGGCCGCGTAGGGGCGGCTACGAGGTCGCGTAGGGGCGGCGACGGGGCCGTGTAGGGAGGGGAGCGGCGACGGGGCTGCTAGGAGTGGCAACGGGGCCGCGTAGGGGTGGCTACGAGGCCGCGTAGGGGCGGCGACGGGGCCGCGTAGGGAGGGGAGCGGCGACGGGGCCACTAGGGACGGCAACGGGGCCGTTTAGGGGCAGCGACGGGGCCGCGTAGGGGCGGTGACGGGGCCACGTAGGGGCGGCGACGGGGCCGCGTTGGGAGGGGAGCGGCTACGGGGCCGCGTAGGGAGGGAGGCGGCAACGGGGCCGCTAGGGGTGGTGACAGGGCCGCTAGGGGCAGCGACGGAGCCGCGTAGGGGCGGCGACGGGGCCGTTAGGGGCCGCGAGGGGCCTGGAAGGGCGGCTACGGGGCCGCTAGGGGCGGCAACGGGGCCGCTGAGGGTGGCGCGAGGGGCCGTGAGAGGGGCCTCTAAGAGAGGTCGACAGAAGGGCAGCCCACAAGGCGCGCCTCGGGCAGGAGGGACTGTCGCTCCGGTCAAAAAACAAATTTCAGTGGTGGGCCCAAGGAAGCGTTCCCACTAGGGAACCTGCTCTATACCATGTGAAGAAATGAGGAATGAATGAACTAGCAAGCAGGTGGGTACATGTAGGAAAACCTAGAAGTGTTGTACCCCATATTGTCTACCCCAATACAGCCTACACAGACTATAGCATATGAGTTTGACAATAGGCGCTAAGGTGCGTGAGTCCCTTCGAGTGAAAAAACAAAAGTTGATTTCCTAAGGTGCGAAGATGCGCGGTCCAAAAAGAAAGAGGCTTTGAATACCAAGTGTTACGGGTACAATGAATCGAGGTAGCGAGGATTGCACTAAGGTACAAGGCATGAGCAAACATTTATACGCGAAACATGCGAATGGTAACGTGGTGCGTGGCTCGGGCTATTCCTAAAGCGTAGGCCGACACGGCCAGGTCAGCAGTGCGAGGTTTGGTGAAACAGTGTGCACGAAGTCGGCGAAGCCCTGTTAGCAGTAACGAGCGAACAACGGCTGCTGCTGTACGCGATGTTGCAGGGCGCCCTAAGGAATGTCGAGAAAGTTCCTTACATGAATATAAAAGGTATCATCAATACATATAACATAATCTTTAATCATGCGTCTTTGTCCTGCGCCAAGGCTTTTGGCTGGTGAGTTTGCAAAACGTGGTGGAACTTTAACTTTACTGGAAAAAAATGATGCATTCTCTCAAACGTATCATCCACTCGTCAACCACATGAAGAATTTTGTATATTTTGAGAAGGTGTCGCTTTTTGTACAGATATACGTATATATAACTATATACATATTGGCACTATTCCGGGCACGCTCGCACAGTTGGTCTAACACATGGACGTTGGCTCTTAGGGTGCTAAGCCCTCCGATGACATATGTTGCGCTTGACACTTGCGAGGAATGGAGGCTGGAAGATGAAAGAATGAGAGGGAAGAAGCGAAGAACAAAAGAGGGAGGCTTGGGTGAGAGTGGATAACAAAGCAGAGGATGAGAAGGGCCCATGAAGGCTAGAAAGGGAGGCATGAAAGGGCTTACGAGAGGAAGATAGGAAGGGTAGAAGAGAAGATGGGTGGAATGGAGGCTGGAGAGGCGGAAGGGAGAGGCCGAGAGAGGGGGAAAAAAATGAGGTTGGAAGACGGCACGCCAGGAGGTTGGTGGAAAGTGAGGAAGAGAGTGAGGGATGTAGAGACAAAGGGTATTTGGAAGGCTGGAAAGGCACATGGGTTGAAGGCGATAAAGAGGAAGGGAGCTAAGGAGGAAGGGTGGAAGGGAGACTGGAAAAATGGGGAGGGAAAGGCCTTGAAGAGAGGGAGACATATGCAGTGCGAGAGTAAGGGAGGTAGGGACGCATGGTGGAAGGGTGGGAGCAAGAGAGAATGGCGCCAGAGTGAAGGTAAGGATGTAGACGCGCAATCAGTGGAGTAGAGACAGAAGAAATCCTCAGATATCACAACAATTCTCTCCCCACAAGTTTCGAAGTGTCACCACAAGCTTCCAAGATTTTCTGCAAGCTTCTATGAGTCTCCTTGGGTCGAAGCCATCGCTCAAACCTCCTTCTTACCACATCCCTTGTCCCTCATCTCCTGTCTCCTCCGTTTCCTAGCTCCCAATCCCCGACTTTCGTCCCTCAACTCCCAAATCCCATATCATGTGTCCTGTATCACTTGATCCATGGATGAAATAGACAATCATGACTACCTTTAAGATATTGCACGTTTTACGCCACTAATCTTGTTTCCGGTGCTCCCCAGTATCCATCAGCAACGACTCGAGCCGATCAATGGTGAACACCCCAGCATCAGTGCCACCCGCAGCCAAATGCCGGGTATTTTCTGCAGTGCCCGCTGACACTCCCACATCCATAGCTCCTCCACCAACATCAGAATATATACCCGTTGCTCGCAAGTGCTCCATATAAGGGACAGCACTGGTGTAGTTCTCGAAACTGAAACAGGCTGTTGTGTTGATATGAGAGAATGGGGTGGTAATATTTGCTGCAGCAGACAGCGTGAGTTGCGGGCCCTCAGGAAGCAACAAGTCTTCTGAGGGTTGAGAAAGCGGAAGGCTCAAATCTGCCATGCCACGCTGCTGGGCAGAACACAGCTGGTCAGCACTAGGCTGGGCAGCACACATCTCATCCGCACAGAGCCTTTCCAGACAGGGCTGGCCCGCACATGGCTGACGCTCACAATCCTGGTCCGCATTAGCCTGCTCCCCCTTACTAGGCTGCCCCTCACAATGCTGCTCCGCGCAATATTGTTCCTCAATATGACACTCCGCAGTAGAATGTTCAGTACCACCATCACCACCACCACATCACGCAGCCCCATAATTTGCTGCTGTGACTTCCTGCATGAGCACATCCCCACCACCGCGGCCAGCACTGCCGGTTTCAGAGCCGTCGATTCTCCTAGAGGCATCATGCCCCAAGGCTGGGGATCTGGAAGTACTGTGGAAGAGGGAGGTAGGAGAGAAGGGGGGAGTGAGGGCTGCTGCCTCAGCCCTGGCAGCAGTAGAAGAGCCAGCAGCAGCGCCGGTAGCAATACCGGCAGCAGTGGCTGCAGCAGCGGAGGTTAGAGAAGTAGAATCTATGGGGACAAGAGGCTGTAGGAAAGGTGACTTTTGACTAGATTGAAGAGGTGTTATGGGGGGGAGAGGCAGTGTGCAGGACGGGAGGGCTCGCTGGAAGGGTGAGAGTGGCCATTGCTGCTGCTGCTGCTGCTGCTGCCGCTGCTGCTGCTGCTGCTGCTGCTGCTGCTGCTGCTGCTGCTGCTGCTGCTGCTGCTGCTGCTGCTGCTGCTGCTGCTGCTGCTGCTGCTGCTGCTGCTGCTGCTGCTGCTGCTGCTGCTGCTGCTGCCGCCGCCGCCGCTGCTGCTGCTGCTGCTGCTGCTGCTGCTGCTGCTGCTGCTGCTGCTGCTGCTGCTGCTGCTGCTCTTGTTGCTGCATCAACTGCAACTGTTGCTGCAGCACTGACTGTGGACGCTGGTTCTGCTTACGCTTCTGCTGGTGATGATGCTGCTGTTGCTGCTCCTGTTGATGCATTGAATGCAATTGATGCTGCTGCTGCTGCTGCTGCTGCTGCTGCTGCCATGCCAACTGCCTCTCGTCCAGCCACAGCTTCTGCTGCCCCTCCAATTCCCTCTGCTGCAGCAGCTGATGCTGGATGTTGTGTCCGTACCTCCTAGGAGGTTTTTGAGGTGACTCATAAGGCACATGCCTGCTAGCATGCCTCCCTGGTTGCTCTTCAAAATGGTTTGGTAACCCTTCGCCATAAATTATGTCTGCCACCCGTTGTTGGTATGCTGGTGCATGCAACATTGCCCTGTCCAGCAGAACTGTTCCCATTGCCCCCCGTTCATGTGAGCATGATCTCCTGACTCTGTGCAGGGGGAGGTTCGGATCTAATTTGAGAGAGCAGGTTGGGGTGGATGCAAGCGCAAACACAGGAGCACCGGCAACACCAGTAGCACTGGAAAAACCAGCAGTACCGGCAACACCAGCAGCACCGGCAACACCAGCAGCACCAGTAACACCTGCAGCACCGGCAAAATGAGGAGCACCGGCAAAATTAATAGCACCGGAAACACCAGTACCACCGGCAAAACTAGCAGCACCAGCAACACTGGCAGCACCGGCAACACCAGCAACACCTGCAGGACCTGCAGCACCGACAAAACCAGCTGCGTTGGCACAACCAGCACCACCGGCAACACCACCAGAACCAGCAACACCAGCAGCACCAGCAACACTGGCAGCAACGGCATTACCAGCAGCACCGACAACACCAGCAGCACCGGCAACACCAGCAGCACCATCAACACCAGCAACACGAGCAACACTGGCAGCAGCTGCCAGGCTGCTAAGTCCACTGCCCACACTTTCACCAGCAGCAGGTATACCTACCATAGGACCCACAGCATCCAAACCACGAGAAGCATCCACACCACTTGCCCCGCTCACACCACTCACCCCACCTGTGCTGCCCACACAGGGCTGGGAATCAGGGGTTGAAGCAGTGACGACTGGTGGTCTCAGAGAGAAAGAGACGCTGTGGCTTCGAATCATAGGAGATACAGGTTCGGAACGAGGCATGGGTTGAGGCCCGGACCAAGGAGGCTTGGAAAACTTGGATCTTGTGTCGCCTATTTCCAAGACAGGAGTATGGCTTCTTATATCCCGCTGCTCAGTCATTTCCTCCTTGAGGGAAGATTGAGCTGTGAGGTCTGCAGAAACACACCGTGCAGCTGCCTTACCCCTTTTTCCAGCCT